TGTTGACTAACGCAGCAAACAATACTGCTAATATGCCTTCGAACACCCCGACGGACCGGGAGTTGACTTACTTCCGAGAATTTCTCTCCGTGCTCAAGGTGCAAAGTGCAAATTTGATGGCCGCGAGTTCGACGCGCAAAAATGCATCGCAAAGTAGCAATACGAGCTTGCCGTCCACAGCTGCAAGCAGTTCTGATGGACTGCAACTCGACAGTCTCGGCATGGCGCTCCAGGCGGGGAGGCGGAGCATGCGCGCAGTTGCGGGAGGTGGAATTGGTACATGGACGTCGTGGTCGTCGGAACAAGCCTACTACTACAATAACTCACCTGGGATCATCATGCCACTGTCGCCAAAAACTTCTCCTGCGCTGAAGAGCAGAGGAACTACAGGAAACACTGCGCGAGCGAGAAGGAGAACTACTCTCTATGAAAGTGCACAGCCGCCCCTTCCCCTCGTTTGTCATGCAAAATTCCAAATCCACCCTTTGCCAGTTAGTACCGTTTGCATGACAGATTCCGCAATGATCCAAAACAGCACTACAATCCTGTACGGAATTGGTCATGCAAAAGCTTTATCTTTGCCAGCGCTTGTGTTGCTGTTCACACAACATAAATGAGGGGGAGGCGGAGTTGTGCACTGTCATACCCTCCCGAGGCGGCACAGGATCAAGAAGAACGCATTGAGTTTGCATCTGCCTTGCGTGGAAAGCCCGGTCACTTCGAACGTGTTTGTCTACTTGGAGGGCGACATGACAAATCCGCTGATTTCAAATGGCGGAACGACAAGAAGATCAGCGGAAGTAGACGATGAGATGATTGACGAGAACCGGGATGTGAATTTTGAATTCCTCGCCAGCGTTCTGTGGTCGAGGCATTTGGAGCTGTGTTTTTGTACTAGCAATGGTAATGGTAGAATTGCTACTGCAACTAGTAGAACTAGCGCACCCGCCGCCGCCGCGGCCACCACGTCTTCGAAAATAACCACGAGTTCTGTAGAAGGAGATCAGGAGGAAGATGCAGGTCGCAAGCTCCGGTCCAAAGGGGAGGGGTCCTTTGTTTCCGCCGCCAGCTTGCCACGGTTGTCCAGTCGTGGGGACGAGGAAAATCTGGACGTTACTCCGAAAGCGGGGGTCCTAGGGTCCGGGTTGCCGAACCCGTGCAGAATTTGCGGGGAACTTGGCTGCGGATTTTTCTCGTCTAGAATATTAGAGCCCGCCCGCGGCCTTTTGCAAATGATCACAATCATGCAGCACGCCGCGATAGGGAGGCGGGCTTTCGCATGGAGACTC